TTTTTGAATCGGTAGCTGGGATAGGACATTCTACATAGGGCCACAGATGCATTCTCATACCGCTAGACTATGTTCTACCTTACATACATATGTAGCGCGGTCGCCATGGACTTACCCTTCACATAGGCAAGTTGATTGTTAGACAGTAATCGACTACCAATGGTGAAAGAGAGGTAATTACAATTATACTCTCTAAAGTTTTAAGCACAAAGGAAGAAATTCGAATAGGCCTAAGGTCCCTTGTACTTGTATGTGATGCCTCACCACCCTGCAAGACGCGACAGATGGAAACTCCAATACATTTGCAAAAGTTTTAACACATACTAATACATCCGCAGTCTGCTTTAATCTTTTTTTTCTGAAACATATATGTGCCCCAAGAGTAAGCAGTCAAACTTATTTGGTACATTATTTTGCCCTTTCATTATTTCCTCTCTGTGTCTTCTCCCGCTTTTCGCTAAAAAGAAGAAATGAAAGAAGAGAAGGATTAAAAAGAAGAAAAGGAAGCCGTCAAAAAGCGCGGAAAAATTACGAACGACAGACGTGGAATAAGATAATAAAATAAAAGAATTTGAAGACAAACTAAAGAAGAGGCATTTAAGCAATTGCTTATCAAAAGAAAAAAAGCTTTTCGAAGCTAATATAAAACAAGTAAGAAAGTCTAAGTTCGGGCGGAGCCGAACATTAAATACCCGGCGCAAGTATTAAATATATCGTCGCTCGAATAAAGAAACAGTGTAAATGCCACTATTATTCGATAATTGCACCATTGTATAGACAATCCTTTAATCTTTTAGGTAAATCTTTAGTTTTCTCAAATATCTCTTTGGCTCACTAATTTATTCCCGAAAAACTAAATTGTATTTGTATGGTTTGTAATGGTTTATAAAAGCTTCCAATTCGTTTTTCACAAAACTATACTTTTCATGTTACACTATTTCATTATTCCAGCGACGATATGGTCTTTCACCTTTCCGAAACCTACCACTAGATGGTAAGGTATCAATTTTGAGTAAATTAGCGTCCTTAAATTTCGAAATATTGCAGTTTCAAGCATTTCTGAAATTTACCGTTATATGAAAAGCGGCCGTAATTTTGGTCCGATTTCAATAATTTTCAATGTTTTGCTTTTATGTGGCAAGCACAATAAAAATACCGAGTTTGGTACAAATCGGTAGAACGGTTACCGATATACATATATGTGATGATAAGTGGGCGGTGCCACGCCCATTTTCCAAAATTTTACCATAAACGCATTTCTTGGTAAAGAATTGTTGCAAGCATCAATTTTGAATAAATTAGCTATAATATTTACTGATTTGTCGAAGATTTTGTATTTCTCTAAATTACCGTTGTATGGGATGTGGGCGTGGTTATTGTCCGATTTTAAAAATTTTCGGCCATTTGGTATGCTGTACCAAGGCCCATTTTCCAAAAATTTATAATATTCTTATTTTTCGTCTGAAAATTATTGTAAATATCAATTTTGAGTGAATTATCTTCAGTAGTTACTAAAATATCGCAGTTTTCGTATTTCTGGAAATTACCGTTATATGGGAAGTGGGCGTGGTTACAGTCCGATTTCGCCCATTTTCATTACCAACCTACCTTGGATTAATGGAAACCTACATACCAAATTTCGTTGAGATGTCTCAATTTTTGCTCGAATTATCGTGTACACGGACGGACGGACATACGGACAGACGGACGGACAGACAGACATGGCTTAATCGACTTCTCTATTCATTCTGATCATTTATGTATACATTTGTCTATATCTATCTCGATTCGTTTTGGCTGTTACAAACCGTTATGTGAACACAATTAATACACCCTTGTGCACAAGTGCGCTCGGGTATAAAAATTTAAAGATCTTGAGCAATCCTCTCAAGAAAATGTGCAAAGTGTGGCTGCGGTTTCTGGTGAAACAGAAAATATGGAAGACTGCACTTAGAGTGAAGTTTTTCTTGGTGAAAGTGATCCTTTTCTAGCCGGGTCTTTAGATACCGCCAGCAGTTGAATGCGAAGGAAGAATTGAAGTCTTTGTCCGCTAAAAGTCTCCTAAAAACTAATCGGGAAAAAATTGATATTCAGTCCATTGCAAATGGCGAGTTTCTGTTCTTAGGCATTCAAGATCATTTTATTTCAGATGAATTCGGATTTTTAGAGGCGCGAGAAGAAGTCTTAATTGATGTAGGTGTCGATGGTGCCAAACTATTTCATAGTTCTAATCGAGTTTTATGGCCTATCCTGGGGGCACTTGTAGATTTTCCTAGTGTAACACCTTTTGTAATAGGTTGCTTTTCTGGACTAAAGAAAACTGAAAATGTCAATGATTTCATGGCAAATTTTTCATCAGAAGTGAAATACCTTAGGAAAATGGTATCAAAGTGGGTCACAATGAGATCGTATTAAAGTTTGATGTTCGGGTGTTCATTCGTGATTCTCCGGCTAGGGCGTTTGTTTGTGGTGTTATGTCATTTAATGGAAAAAGCAGATGTTCTATATGTTACCTCGAAGGCAAATATAAAGAGAGAAGAGTATGTTTTCCCAAAGAAATTGGTGAACTTAGGTCGGATTCATCTTTTGAGCAATTTAGGCATCAGAAAAGCGTGTTAGAAGACGCTGGCTTTAAAATGGTTTCTCAGTTTCCTCTTGACTCTATGCTTTTGGTTGATTTAGGTGTCGTCAAAAAATGTCTTAAACTGTTCATCAAAAATGCAAATACCACAAAGATGAATGGAAATATTCGTTTCGTTTCCAGGTTTTTCCCATCAGAATTGTGTCGAATTTCAAGGGGCTTGAATGAAGTTAGTCATTGGAAAGCAACGGAGTTTAGGCAGTTCTTGCTATACACAGGCGTTTTTATTTTGAAGGATTGCGTAAGTAGAGAGTTGTACTACCTTTTCTGGCTTTTGCATAGTAGTATTCGCCTTCTTTCTAGTGAAAAATCGTTCAGGTCGGAGGCCGATATTGTTAAAAAAAAGTGCTAGAACATTTTGTCGCAGAGTTCAGTAGGATATTTGAAGAAGAATTAGTTGGTTTCAACATTCATGGCTTACTTCACATGTCTGAATGCGTTAAAAGTCTGGGTCCTTTGGATTCATTTTCTGCTTATAGGTTTGAAAACTATATGCAATTTTTAAAAAAGATAATTAAAAAGCCGAATCAAGTATTGCAACAAATCTTTTTAAAGCTTGATGAAAGGCAAGATCTTAATTCGCTTTCGAATCAGACTTCTCGGTTTGGAGCATTTGACATTGATTTAAGAAAAGAAAAGGATTGTTTTTGCTACAGTAAGAAAGCGGGACCTATAAAGGTAATGGAACTTGTTCGGTTAGGAGATTCAGAACTAATTGAATGTATGGTTTTTCGGAAAACAGAAGACTTTTTTGAAGACCCTGTTCACTCCTTAGCTAGTCTAGGTATCGTTGTTGCAAGTGATCTCAGTTTTGATATGGTTAAAATTGAAAGGGGTGTTATTGACTATAAATACCTCTGTATCCCCTATGAAAACAAATTTTTGTTCATACCTCTTCTGCATCATAGGTTCCACGATTTTTGTAATTAAGCCACACTTTCCATTAAAAAATAATTAAATTATTTAAAAAAATATATTTTATAATGCCTCATTTGACTTCAAACTTTTTTTTTTGGAAATAGAACTATTATGGCATACCAAGCCAATGGTAAGTATAACTATTTTTCATGATGCCTATATGTATGGAGTTGATTTGTCAAAGGCGATTACCCCATCCAACAACAATGTCCATGTGTCTGATGAAGGTAACTTATATATTTTTTTTTCTCAATTCTACGTATTAAATTTATGTACCAAAATTTTTATTTCCACAACAGTCTCATCCAACAATAACGTGGCTGGGCCCAATGAAGGTAATATATACTTATACATATGTTATTTTTTATTTTTTTTTTTATTTTACAGACGTAGATGTACTTCAAGCGCTGCTGATAAAACTACAAACGATCGAAAATAATGTAAGTAGGTGCATTTCAAAACTCTCTTATGCCCTAGTTATGATTTCGTTGGTTTAAATGTCATCTATATATATAAAATAATTGCCGTTTTCGTTGTTCGGAGTTAACTCAAAAACTACTGGACAGATTTCAGTCAAATTTTCAGAGGTTATGCCTTTCATATATGGTCCTATTATAGGCTACCAGAAAACTCGGTAGGTGGCGCTGGGGTCGAGTTATTTATAAAAATCGTATTTCTTTTAAATTCAAAATGTAAGCTACCAGAATGACGGCAAACACGTTTACCAAAAATAGATCCGCTTGGTGGCGCGGGAGTCGAGTTATTTATAAAAGTCGTATTTATGAACCGATGTCTTTCAAATTCAAAAGGTATAGTTTCAGCATAATGGAACATAAGTTTACCAAAAACAAAGCCGCTAGGTGGCGCGGGAGGCGAGTTATTTATAAAAGTTGTATTTATGAACCGATTTCGTAAGCATGATGAAAAG